TTTATCATTTATTTGAATACCGTTGATCTTAATGGATTTGAATCTTAATATTTTTCGATCTTGAATGATACATCCATACAATAGATTTTATTAAAGACTAGATTCCATATATTGAAACGTTCTATACAAACGTTTATCTATATAATATAAGAACGCAAAGATCACTAGCCTTTGTCAGTCTCAGAAACTAGTAAGTGCACAATTAGAGTGTGAATGTTTGCAATATTCGGGTGTCGGAGGAACCCCGGGGAGTCCTCTCTAGTTTAGGTCGCGCCCGAATATTATGCGTGAGAACCGTGGAGTGTTTGTTTGAGAGACTGAGTTTTGCAATTTTTTAAATATAGGGTTAGGTAGGTAGGTAACTTATTCTCTGGTGTGTGTGCTTAATCTAAGTAGGTAGGGTCAGGGCAGGACTGTCCACATTAGTAATTCGGGTAGGCGCGTTTTCGCGTGGCAGTTCTGTTCCTGTAGTTACGATCTCGAGAGTAGAAATGTTGCTGATTCAAACGGTGCACTTGTGCTGTTTGTTTCGGCTTTATTTTCGACTCCTCGAATCGCGCGACTCTTAAAGTCGCTCTCTCGCGATCGCGGTCGTGATCAGGTCCCTTTCGAAACGTTCGTCCCGCTCGAGATGACCACGTATGCTCTTTCAACGATTCGTATATTGTTGGAAGACTGCGTATTGCACGAAATCTCGAGCCCGGTCTTTCGTAAGTTTCAGGCATCGGCAGGACCGCCGAAGAAAGAAAAGGCTCTCGATGAGCCGAAGAGGCCCTGACAAACTGTCTCAAGAGCGGGCTACAACAAATGGCTTTTCATCTTTATCTTCTGATAAAAATGGAAAGTCATTCCTGTTACTATTTTGTCACTTAACTCGTCCGTAGTTGTAGTTAGTTTATTTTTCTGACTGGCTCACGTATGCATGTACCCGATGGTACACGATTGCACCATACATGCCAGCCATCCCTCCCCATAACTCGCGGTTATGATATACATAGAGCTGCGAATATGCAATAATCGCGTTTGCTTGTAGAGTTGCGAATTCCTATTTTTCGCGTTTCCGTTTCAGGGTAGTGTTGCGAATAATTACCATTCGCGATTGCTTTTTTGCAAACTTAGATACCAAAAGTTTGCTTAAAAATAGCGTTGCGAATTATCGATAAACGCGATTGCTCGTAGAGTTGCGAATCACTATTTTTCGCGTTTCCTTTTCAGGGTAGTGTTGCGAACAATCACGATTCGCGTTGCTTTTTTACTCTTTTATACATATAATGGATATCAACCGCGTTTGCAATTTTCATATCATAAATTAGCGTTGCGATCTTGATCAATCGTGCGATTTTTTCTTTAGCGTTGCGATATTTTCAATGCCCAAATTCTACCCCAATCGTAGTACTAGCAGTAGTTAGTTTATTTTGTGGCCAGTACATGTCTATGTACATGTACCAACAGCCCCTGATTAAAGTTAGAGTTGCGAATAATATACAATGTTCGCGTTTGCTCGTAGAGTTGCGAACAAATATTTATCGCGTTGATATATCAGTGCTGCGACTAAATACGATTCGCGATTGTCTTTGATGCAAACCTAGGAACCGGGCGTTTGCTTTAAAAATAGCGTCGCGAATTTTTAGTAAACGCGATTGCTGTTAGAGTTGCGAATCACTATTTTTCGCGTTTGCTTTTCAGGGTAGCGTTGCGAATAATTACCATTCGCGTGTTGCTTTTATTCTTGCAAGTCGCGTTTGGAATATTTTCTATTATAAATTAGCGTTGCGATTGTTGATTTATCGCGTTGTTGCCCCGTAGTGTTGCGATATTTAAAACGACTAACTTCATCCCCATATGTGCCACTCTATTGTAGTTTGAAGTAGCTTGATGTAGTTAGATTATCGTGTGCATGTATGTTTCTAGCTACAACCGAACACGCCCAGCACCTGATCCAGCGTTTTTGGGCAACGCGATTTGCATTAGCGTTGCGAAACATAAATGTATTTCCATTAAAGATAGAGTCGCGTATATACAATAATCGCGTTTGCTCGTAGAGTTGCGAATTCCTATTTTTCGCGTTTCCTTTTCAGGGTAGCGTTGCGAATTCCATACGCGATTGCTTTTATCGTTATTTAAGAATAGCGTTGCGAACGTACCGATCGGTTTGTTCTTAGCGTTGCGAATTACTATTTTTCGCGTTTACTTTTCAGGGTAGCGTTGCGAATAATCACCATTCGCGGTTGCTTTTATTCTTATAAATCGCGTTTGGAATTTTTCTATTATAAACTAGCGTTGCGTTCTTTACTTGTCGCGTTTTTTATTAATTAGAGTTGCGATACAATGCCCAAAAGCTGGTCAAAACGCTGGCCCACTGCACCAGGATCATCTTCAAGCAAGCTGAGATTCTGCAAAGCCTCGAATGGCTCAACGTCGTTATTAAAATTAGTGTTGCGCATGATTGAATACGGGTGCACGCGATTTAATTAATAAAGGAACCCTGTGTGGTTCGTTTTACGAATAATCAAGCACCATTCGCGTATAGTTTTTTATTTTATAAACTAGCGTTGCGAAAGAAAGAATGGTCCACTCGCGGGTTGTTTGAATTTAACACGAGTGGACGTTTATTCCGATTATGATGTTTATTCTCAAAAGAAATACTGCTTTAAAGCACTGTTGCGAATAGACCAATTGTTTTATTCTTCGTAACGTGTTAAAATCTGTAATATATGGGAATGTATTTTCATCAGAGATTTCTGATGCATTTCAAAATTCTATATTACGATTAATTTTATTGTAGATTGAATTTACGATTGCTATATAGATATCTATATCACTAATTATTCATTCTTAGAGTTGGTAATTTTTACGGGATTTAATAACGTTTGTAATCCAATTGTTATTTATAAATAGCGAATTTTTTATAAATATTCTGTACTATTTGCATAAATCAAAGTTTGTTCGCGATGATTGTTTTAATCGATGGAAAATAGAATGCTTGCATCAAAAGGATATGCAAATTGCAATTCGATATTTCATATTGAGAGTTAATTGCCGCGTAGAATCGACATTTTCGTTCGTTATTGCTTTTTTCTGTATGAACGTAATTTAATTTTGAATACAGTAAAATATAACTATTGCAATCTATACGTCTTGAAAATATTTTTCTTGAAAATTAAATCTACGGGTAACGAACGAATAAAATTTTCAATCTATTTCTTATTTATCTTAACACTAGGACGAATTTAACTTTTCATTCAATTTCACGAAATATTTATGTTTTTAAACTTTTCAATATCAATTTTTACTCGTGGAAGCTCAAATATTAATTTTTCTATGATCGATTACCATTAGTCTATCGTGACGGTATATAATTATTTTTTTCTGTGTTCATTAATACACTTTCGTTTCAGCTTTTAATCCTTTGAACAAGTTCTTGTTACAGGATATATAATCATCGAAGAATGGAATTGGAAATGGTACACGGATTCCATCTCGATCGCTCTTAGAGAAATATTTCATGCAATTTTATTTATCGTCTGATTTATATTTCAGGGAAACATCGTGGGATTAATCAAGACACCGAGAAGAAATATTTTTTCAGATTTATTTGTTTTATACGAGTTCTATATTTCATTGGATATGAGTTTTTGTTTCAGGAAAACATCGTGGGAGCGACGAAGACACCATGAAGAAAATATCTTGTCATATTTCGTTGTTTCATGTCGGTTATATTTATCGTATATGAGTGTATGTTTTAGAAAAACATCGTGGGATTGATAAAGACACCGAGAAGAAAATATTTCCTCGTATTTCTTCGTGTTTCTACAGATTGCGTTAGAATTTAAGTACAAATGTATATAGATTATAAGATAAAAAAGCGTTCTCCTGCCGTTTATTAAATATTACCGAAAGGTGTGCGTAAATTTAAGTTGGGAATGATTAATATTAAGATACATATTAGTATTCTAATATGCAAGGTCCATACGTGCAGTTGCACATTTCTGGTTGGATCTTCAGGATCCTCTCTTCGTGTTGTACAAATGTCTTGTTAGGCACTCTCATAATGCAAGAAGGAACAATTAATAATAAAGTACATATTGGTACTTTAGTAATCAGGATTCGTACGTGCAGTTGCACATTCCAATTTCGTTTCTAGAATACACGTGATGGATTATTTTACACGTATCAACATTTCGTTAGGTTTTTGATCTCTTCATCAGAGTTCGTACGTGCAGTTGCACATTCCAATTTCGTTTTTAGAAAACGTATATCATCTCACATGTATTTACATTTTGTTAGGTTCTTCGTCTCTTGATTGGGCAGTTCTTTTAAGAACGCTCCTTTTCTAGCTCGTTTCTAACTCTTCGATAGCTTCTTCCTTGGATAGGTATTCGAATTCCTCGCCAAAGGAAGGGTGGTTGGGGCGAGGCTAGGGCGGGTCTCCATACGCAGCAACCTCCTCGCGGTGAGACCTGGGTCATATTATTTACTATGTAATTAATAGAATTATTAATTACATAGCAAATAATATGAGCTAATGGCTGCGTTCTTCTTATAGTTCCACATACCTTGTTCGTCTGATAACACTGATTTCGAGTCGCAAATACGTTTTTGCCGAGTTAGTTTTTAAATAAATAATATATTAGAATTTAAAATAAAAAATAGAGGATTTCCGGTGTATTTATCAATGAGATCCTTACGTATTTTAATAATTTTGAAATCTTTAAATAATCTCAATCGATGCTCAATTCTGGACCGTACAGCTTTCATTCCGTTAAAAAATAATAAAATTTATGTAATTTTATTCTCTGTCTCGCTTTCACTTGTGTTCATTTCTGAATCTGTTGATAACGTTGCGAGTGACACGAAAATGGTAATGGGGTCTCGGGACCCCAGAGAAACGGGCCGAAAAAATACATTAGGTGAAAGCACAGATGAGGTATATGATGTATTCATGTGATATATTCATATACCTCGTCTGTGGTTTTACGAAGGAGTTATTATCTGCCTTGGATAAAATCGTATGTATTTTTTTAATGAATGAGTTGACGTCACAGCTGTACAGTTATTTCACAGTTGTTATGTTTGTTAAATATACATTATTACGTTTAGAATTCTACGCACCGCTCGCAGTTATTAATTATTAAAAGATACAAGCTTCCGTAAGTGTGATAAGCTATTTTGGCAACCGAGAGTAGAAGTCCTTTGGCACAGAGGCAGTTTGTCGACCAATTTTGCCATACTTGTCTAATAACTATGTACTAGATTCGTGGGAAAGAAAGTCACTCGCTCTTTTTATCACTTTGTTGCTTGTACAAGCTTTCCAGATCCGAGATCGTACTTTTTCCACCGCTCGACGAAACGGGAGGTCTTCCTATTCTCTGCACAGTTTTGCTTTTCAAAGATGGCGGGAAACCGTGTTCGTTGGAAATATCTTCCACCGACGCGCTGTCCTTGGACGGTTTCCCCATCTCTTTGCTCCATTTCGCCAACCAATCGCTGCCCGTAGACTGAAAAAGGCACAGCAAAATTCAGTTCAAGTTTCCACGCGTTTTATTCGTAGGCGATTGATTATATTCACTTTTTTAACATCATTTTCCTCGACGCCTATCGCGTTAGCCTTCTCCTCTGTTTTCTTCAATTTGTCCAATTCCCTCTGGAATTTTCGTTCCATTTGATACTTTGCTACCGCTTGAGCCAACGGTCCCAGTTCTCCTTTCATCGCGGCACTGAACATCGCCTGTGATCGGAATTAAAACGAGCGAATGTGACTCTCGAACTCGAATATAAATTCGTCCAGCTCTGATCGTAACACGAAATAGAAAAGCTGAAAGTTTCCGATACTCACGTCACGGCGCCTCTTGGTGTCTGCATTACCGATCGGGTCAGTTTCGGATTGCGGTCCCAGTTCCACGAGCACTTGGAAATCAGCGTGCTGACCCAGTCGAAAACCCAAGCCGAGTCTCGAGTCGGTGCCTGTGGTTTCGCAGAATCAGAAAAAAATAACGAAAGAGAGATCGAGACAAAGTTCACGGGTTTGCTCGCGCGTAATTGCCAAGCGTCGCAGGCGTTGGACGGTGAAAGTGGTCGTTGGCGCGAGACGTTCGAGATTACTTAAGAAAATAAAAATTCCGGGGGGGGGAAAACCGATCGAAAATAAACGACAGAAAAATATCCGAGACGTCGAGATCGCCGTTACCTTTCTTTATCGGCGGAATGTTCGAATAGATCAGGGAAAGTATCGTGGGCAGTTCTTCCGGGACAATGAGACAGGCAGCATCTGAAACGATTAATTTTTAACGTTTATATAGCTTGGTCTGTGTCTAGCCAGGATAGGATAAAAAGTGCGAGACAAAGCGAAGAAAAAGTCAGATTTCTCTCGGATTCCGTTTTCCTTTCTTACGGATAACTTTATGCAATCGTTATTGAAATTCGAATTTACGTAAGCCGTCTATACGACGAGGATCGAGACAGTCGTCGGACTATGATCGAGGATGGTTACGAGATTCGCCCAGAAGTAGGCTAAGGACGGACACGGCGTTCGAGTTAACTGGCACTTACGATCGCAGAGGAACAGCAGAACGCATATCTTTATCAGCACGTCCTTCGTGCTCGACATCTTTTCATCGGGAGGATCCTCTGGCGCACGTTTCCTTTTTTATTTAGGTGTCCAGTCGCATCGTTCCCACGCTGGTGAAATCTCGAGTGATTCGTTTATTTACGAACGACGATAGAATACGGAGAATTACTCTGGAAATCAGAGATAACAGATGTGTAATCCAAAACGTCAGATAGGATCAGGACCGTGTAACGATGGAGATTAGGGCTCGAGGTACGCGAACCGTGCACTGGAAGAATCGACGTCCATCGATTCCTTGGACTCCACGGGATACGCGAAAACGTTTACCGTGTATGTTATACTTACATGAAAGTGAAATCTAAAGAACGGAGCTGGCAGGTAACGAACGCGGGCTTCGAGTCGGCCTACTACGGCGAACTGATGCCAGTCGTCGCGCGATAGAATGCAACCGCGTGCGAGAAAGACCGCCGGAAAGAAGTCCTCGAGTGAAAGGGGAGTCGTGGTCGATCGCGGATCGGGGGATCGGGGATCGGGGATCGAGGTCACGGAGTCCGAACGACCGTCCATGGGATCGGGGATGAACTCTCTCTCTCTCTCCTTTTCCTCTCTTTCACCCGACTGACCAGACGCAAATTTCGATCCCGTTTTCCACGAATAAGATGCAAAGTTAACGTGTTTGTATGCTTGCAGCCTCCTCCGCCATTCGATATGTCTTGTTTTACAGACTGTGGAGCGTGCTTTTTTAGTGGAGGAAATGAGAAAAGATCATCATAGGTGGACAAATTTTCGGTGAAATTAAAAAGTTTCAAATCGTTCTGGAAAAATTATTTTCAGTCGCAGGGGTCAATTACAATCATTTTTGGTCAATAGACATACCACCAAATTCCTACACACTTTCGAGAAAAAAAATCGACCAGTTGGGCAAGTTTTTCGGTGAAATTAAAAAGTTTCAAATCGCTTTGGAAAAATTATTTTCCATTGCAGGAGTCAATTACAATCATTTTTGGTCGTTAGACATAACCCTGAATATCTACCCCTTTTCGAGAAAAAAATTCGAGTAGGTGGACAAATTTTCGGTGAAATTAAAAAGTTTCAAATCGTTCTGGAAAAATTATTTCCAATTACAGGGGTCAATTACAATCATTTTTGGTCAATAGACATACCCCCGAAATCCTATCCACTTTCGAGAAAAAAATTCGAGTAGGTGGACAAATTTTCGGTGAAATTAAAAAGTTTCAAATCGTTCTGGAAAAATTATATTCAGTCGCAGGGGTCAATTACAATCATTTTTGGTCAATAGACATACCCCCGAAATCCTATCCACTTTCGAGAAAAAAATTCGACGAGGTATGAAATTTTTCGTCAAAATTAAACAATTTTAAATCATTCTAAAAAAATTATTTTTGGTTGCAAGGGTCAATTACAATCATTTTTGGTCAATAGACATAACCCTGAATTCCTACCCCTTTTCGAGAAAAAAATTCGAGTAGGTAGACAAATTTTCGGTAAAATTAGAAAGTTTCAAATCGTTCTGGAAAAATTATTTCCGGTTGCAGGGGTCAATTACAATCATTTTTGGTCAATAGACATACCCCCGAAATCCTATCCACTTTCGAGAAAAAAATTCGACGAGGTATGAAATTTTTCGTCAAAATTAAACAATTTTAAATCATTCTAAAAAAATTATTTTTGGTTGCAAGGGTCAATTACAATCATTTTTGGTCAATAGACATAACCCTGAATTCCTACCCCTTTTCGAGAAAAAAATTCGAGTAGGTAGACAAATTTTCGGTAAAATTAGAAAGTTTCAAATCGTTCTGGAAAAATTATTTCCGGTTGCAGGGGTCAATTACAATCATTTTTGGTCAATAGACATACCCCCGAAATCCTATCCACTTTCGAGAAAAAAATTCGAGTAGGTGTGAAATTTTTGGACAAAATTAAAAAATTTCAAATCATTCTAAAAAAAATATTTTTAGTTACGGGGGTCAATTACAATCATTATTGGTCAATAGACATACCCCCGAAATCCTATCCACTTTCGAGAAAAAAATTCGACGAGTTATGAAATTTTTCGACAAAATTAAACAATTTCAAATCATTCGAAAAAAATTATTTTTGGTTGCTAGGGTCAATTACAATCATTTTTTGTCAACAGACAAACCCCCGAAATCCTATCCACTTTCGAGAAAAAAATTCCTTACCGAAAATATAATTTCTGGCCAGAAATGTCTCTATAACTTTTTAACGAAGTCTCAATCAACAAATTAATATCCTTAATCCAGCGCTTGCGAGAGAGCGACCCCTCTGGTGGCAAGTACAGGAGGTGGCACCATAAGAGTATTAGAAAATGTTTTGTCGTCTCTAAATCCATGAAAAAATGTTATACATATGTTTTTAGACGACTGATTTCTAACGGAGAAAACTATACCGCGATCAGATGAAAACTGTGCAACGTTTGAATATCAATTTGATTCCCTTTAAAGAAGAACCAACGAATGACAAAAAGGCTTGCGTGGATGCCCGTATACGGTCGTTTAAAGATTCACCCGGAAGTCGCCGGAAATTACACGCCCGCTCGATCGAGCAACAAAAGTGAAACTTCGTTACCCGATCGGTGTTATTTTCAATGGCAACTAGAAATCTTCGTTTCCTTTCTCGTATTCAACGAGACCGTTTTAACCGTTGTTTGACCAAGCTCGTTTCGAAACTCACGCGCATCGAGAATACGCTTCTTCCAGCGGGACAAAAAGATATAAAATATGTTTGATGTTTCTGTAATTGCAAGCAATCGCGATAGAGCGCGGAGGGGCACGTCGTCTCTTCCGGTCTTATCGTGTCACGGCCCTGTGGGTGTCTATCGGTGCTCGACTTAACGGTACCGACGATAGAACGAGGACGTATTTTTTCTACCTTCGTTAATTTTCGAGATACGTATGGTCACGTGTACAGAGCACGCTTACGATTAGTTTCACGCGAAGAACTTTTTGTCCCCACATCGAACCTCTTTCCATTCCTCGCTCGAAGGTTTTTTTTCGTAACGTTATAGTATAAAAAACACCGTTGCGTTTTCTAACGTTCATAAACGGAGGCAAAAGCAATCCGTGTCAAGGTGGTCCGAATAATATTTGCCGTTTAAGGCCAACGTCGAGACTGTTTATAGAACAGCTATGCCTCTTTTTCTTTTTGCGATTATTGCAGTTTAATAATACGACGGTCGAAGAAACGTTGCAGTTTGTAGAAAAAAAAAAACAGATGCAATAGCCCGTTGTTTCTTTCGGCCAGGACAATGTTTGTTTTGAAACGGTCTCGGAGTCGCGTACCGCCAGCTATCGGCGAAATAGGCAGAGTCGTCGATGGCTGGAGAGGGGCACGCGTAGATAGCACGTTCCGCGTTCTATGCAGGCCCGTGCGTTGCGTTTGTCGTTCACCGGGAGTTGACGATAGCGCACGAAGTCGCGCGTTTCAAGCAACGAAGGACGCGCGCGCGGCGACCGATTAATCTCGTCCTTTCGGTAAACTTGTCACCGGCGCTGACGTCGCGAATATCGCGAATGGTTCGACCGCGACCACGGTCGTCGTCATGGAACATTCTTTTGGTCGAGTGAGTATCGTCCTCCCGGAGCACACCCGAACGACACGAGACCCCCGCGACCGATCACGGAACGAGGAAGTGGATGGGAATGGTGATCCTAAGAAAAAAAGAAAAAAAAAAAATACACAAGAAACGGGGGAACTTTTTACGGTGACATCGCGAAACGATTCACTTTTGATAAAGCCCCGGGACACCGCGTCGCGTTCGTAGAATGGCGCGCGTAACGCGCGGTAACCAAAGAGCGTTATTGCCGATGTCATTCCTTTTTGCAGTAGAACCGCGTCGAAAGAGACATTGGCGAAAAACGTCGGTTCGATTCGAGCCGGCCATATGCTGTTCTTCGGTCGTTGTTTGCACGTTTCCCGTGACAGGTGCTCTATGCCAACCGCGAGTGAAAGAGGGACGAAAAACAAGCGCAAAGGCTCCCCGGGATTTCTCTTTTTTTTTCGTTTTACTTTTCGCGACCATCTAGGAAAAGCACAAAGCGTTCCACGCGCTAACGTGGCTTATTTTTCGCGCCCCTGTCGCGCGACAACTGCCGCGACAGGTGTAACGCGACAAACGTGACTCGTGTCCGATACGTATGAATGTTATTTTTGTTGCTTTTTTTTGTAACTACAGTAATATTCCACCACTTTATTCGTCCTTTGTAGTACTAGCGATTACATTGAAAAACGGAAGCGCAATCGATGAAAGGCAGAAGACCTCTACAAACATGGTAATACCTCAAGGGGGGGCGGGGGAGGATTTGTGAATTTGTTCGAGAAAACGTCATTAAATTGCAAAAATCAATCGTTTCAAGTCGAATCTTTTTATGACTTATCGATTAACGTCTTGTTAACCTTTTCGACGACGTAACACCTGATTACACACCTTGCGAAGCACCTGTCACGTTCGTTCGATTGCAAAAAACAAACAAGTTTCTTAAAGTTTATTCACGCCTATACCGAGCATGTTTTTTAAGTAAAAGGGGAACGATGTACAGTGGCGAATTTTCGTAAGATTCTGGTCAAAATATTAAGCGATAGAGGGTGCATTCGTGTTCACTGTCTGCGACCCATATGTGGGTCACAGCGCCATGCTTTTGGATACGCCGTTAAAAGATCGGACAGTGAACGTGTCAAGATACAATGCGTAAAGAATCTTCGAGAAATTCGCCGCTGCGTCTCGGTTTTTAATGACTCGAAAATGATCGAACAAAGGCTGATCGATCAGTCTCTCGTCGATGATCTGTCCAACTCGTCCCGTGTACGCTTGTGCTCCGACGGTAACCTCGAAAGTGCGTTTCCAGTGAATGGTGTACGATGACATTTTTGGCCCGTGGGGCCGAATCATCATCATCGTCGCGGCGGCGCTGACCATCGTCGTCGCCTTGCTCGTGATCGCGTGCTTTCTCACGCCAGGATGCCTTGGATACGAGTGCGTCAGAAAACGAAGTAAGCCCCGCTTTATTCGAGTCTGACCGTCTTCTAAACTATCGACGTTCCATCGTATTTAGAATTTGCATAATCCCACCCAGCGCATTTTACCGACCCTTCGAATTCGTGCAAACTAATTATCGTCGATTAAACGCGGAAACGTCTGGCAGCTAAGCCTCGGGCTGGTGATATTTAATTCTTCCGACGCGATTGCGAGCTCTGCTTCCGTGCACATGTTTCTGGGCGTCCGTGAAACGCATACGGAGAAAAATAATCGCTGGACGCAACGCTCTTTCGGGAACTCGCGATTTGTAACGACTGGACTCGTGTCTTCTGAAATAAAAGGGTGGGAATCTTCCACTCCCCCGACACCCGGTAAATAACCCGTTGAGTTACAATGCCACGCAACGGTCAACCCAACGGCGAGTCGAAATTAAAAAAAGAATTCCCAGAATTGGAGATCAAGATTGTAATCTGATACTCGAGCTCGACCGCTCGAGTTTGGACTAACGTCTCTCCAATCCAATTACGTAACAGCTGAAATAACAACAGATGTTCGGCTGGAGACATCGGAGACCCAAACTCGTTGAAATTGAAATTCTTGAGACACTTTATCTTTCTACCAAGTTAAGTATATTTAATCGCGTCGATGGGACGCGATTTATGCAACAAAGAACGTTGTGTTCCTCTGAAAGGAAGGAAGCTTGGATTCCTGCACCATGAATCCGCGCGTATACGTGGCTGATACATTACGCCATTGTTCGCACATTTATATTTATACACACACGCTCGCGACGTTTTCTTCGTTTCCTCCGCGATGTTACGTAATTAGGCATGTCATCCTGCAAACAAACCGCGCGCAGCCTTCCGATACCGCCGCGATGGAAACGCCCATCCTGACCGCGCGAAAGGATTCGGTAAATCCTGATCCGAAACAAACGATTAAAAAGCCTTCGACGACAGGCGTTCTGTACGCGATCGCGAATCAGTCCTCGACTCCGTCCGTCGAGCGCCAAATGGAACACACATGTAATTAACGAGCGAAACGAATCTTTGACCGGATAGCGGGCGCGTCCATCTCGGCTATTTACAAATTGCATAATCAGAGGTATGAATAATTCCTTGCAGAGAGGGACACGAATAGTCTGCCGTTGCGTGTCAAGAGCAGAGAAAATGAAAACGCGAAGTTGAACGATGTCAGCTACAGGTCATGGAGGTTGGGTAGCCTCTACGAAGAGAGCACCAATGGTACCGTATTTAATTATTCTTACGACTTGTTTGCTCGCCACGGCCGTTACGCTGTACCGCTTACGAATAATTATCACCCACGACAGTGTCAATCATCGTTTCGTTTCGTTTCGATTAAACTTACGGAATAGAAAGAAGTTGGATCTTATTTATAATGATCGTATGTATTTAACGTGAAATTTACGTAGGTACGGTCAACGAGAACGTGACCACGAACCAAGGAGCTTCCTGGAACTCCAACAATGCTCAGTTCGAGTACACCAATACCTCGTCCACCCTGGTAACTTTCGCTATACGTACTAGATTCAGTTTTAATCGCGATGTATCGCATCTTGCATCTATTTATTGCAGAACTTGGTGCAAAAAAGTAAGCAAAAACCAGACAAGAAACAAAAGGAATTCCCGACGGAATTGACGTTGAGCTTGCAGTACCTGCCGCCGTACGAGGAGGCTGTCACCGGGAAGCTCGTCGTCGGCATCGAGGTATTAAATAATTTCCCTTTCGTATTCGAGCAAGTGGAAGCAGTTGCAGCGATTAGAAATTGAAAGATTTAATGGCGTACAGGCATTGTCCGGTCTTCCTCCAAAGCAATACAACTGCACGTTGGAGCCGTACGTGGCTCTGAACATTATGAAGCAATCGTGGAGCCACAGGAAACGGCAAAAGTTGCACAGTTTTCGAACGAGAGGCGTGAGGCATTCGGCCAGCCCGATTTTCAAAGAGACTTTTGTCGTGGCGAACGTAAAGCCACACGAAGTTAAGGTACGCGAGTACGTAGATACGTTTTTATCTTCGCGTTGCGCGCGTTTCAGTGTTGCTTTTAATTCAAGGTCGCGGAACACGTCAACCGGCATAAGTTAAAACGCTTCTACGACGAACGTCGCGCATGCATTTCTATTATACAACGGGTACGATCTTAAATAATCGACGTGACATTTTCTTTTCTGTTTTTGCTTTTTTTGCTTCTTTTCTCCGCGAAAGTCGTTCGTGGAAAAAAGGCAATTTTACCAACTACGAGAACGTACCCGCATGTACGCGATGCAAATATATTTTACGCAACGCGGATCGCGTGTTTCGTCATACCGTTACGAAAACAATTACTTGTCCTAGAAACGACGTGCCCCTTCTGGCTTCGCGAAAGATTTCCCGTATTTATGGCGACCCGATCGCCTCTTTTGCAGGAGTGGATCCTCGACTTCGCGACGCACGATCACGACAGGTACGCCAACGACACGGAATTGTGCAGTTTGAAGGTGTCGATCAGGGAGGTGAAGCATATCCTGCAGAGCCCGGAGATCCACATGTTCAATTTCAAAATGAAGCCGTCCAATTTGGTACTGTCGCGCAAGCTGTAAATCCATTGATATGAAAATTTAGAGATATGAAATTTATTTCGTTTTCCAGGAGTATGGAAACATTTTGTTAGGCGTGAGTTACTTACCCACAGCTCAGAGACTGACTATAAACGTTATGAAATTGCGCGACGTCAAGATTACGCCAACGTTGTCGAGCGCGAAAGATTTCAGTGAGTATCGAACCAAAATAAAATACAGGCTGGCCATCCTTGGGAATAATTTTAATGGGAGATTTTAGGGATCAAAATAAAACGAAAATCAAGAATACCAATTTGTTGATCGAGGCTTCGTTAAAACACAAAGTATATTTTCGGTAAAGAATTTTTTTCTCGAAAGTGGGTAGGATTTCGGGAATATGTCTATTGACACAAAATGATTGTAATTGACCCTTGCAACCAAAAATAATTTTTTTAGAACGATTTGAAATTTTTTAATTTTGTCGAAAAATTTCATACCTCGTCGAATTTTTTTCTCGAAAATGGATAGCAATTCGGGGGTATGTCTATTCACCGAAAATGATTGTAATTGACCCTTGCAATCAAAAATAATTTTTTTAGAATGATTTGAAATTTTTTAATTTTGTCGAAAAATTTCATACCTCGTCGAATTTTTTTCTCGAAAGTGGATAGGATTTCGGGAATATGTCTATTGACAAAAAGTGATTGTAATTGACCCCTGCAACCGAAAATAATTTTTCCAAAACGATTTGAAATTTTTTTTTCCGTCGAAAAATTTCACACCTTCTCGAATTTTTTTCTGGAAAGTGGATAGGATTTCGGGAATATATCTATTGACAAAAAGTGATTGTAATTGACCCTTGTAACCAAAAATAATTTTTTTAGAATGATTTGAAATTTTTTAATTTTGTCGAAAAATTTTGTTACCTCGTCGAATTTTTTTCTCGAAAGTGTTTATTTGAAAGTATGTCTATCGTATAGCGACTGGAATTGCGGGCATCTGTGCATTATTTTTCAGATCCTTATGTCAGGGTATTGATGCTGAACGCGAGGACGGGTCAAAGGATAAAGAAGAAGAAAACGAAATTCGTTCGCGCGAATCCGCAGCCGGAATTCAATGAAACGTTAACGTTCGATGTGTCTTATCACCAACTCGAGATCGTGCAATTTCTCGTGGTGCTGTGCAGCAAGGTGCGGACAGACAAAGTTTGAAAATTTCTAGGTCTTTGGAATTTAATTGGAAAGCAATTTAAAGTTAAAAGTAAACGATTTCGTCGGAATGCTTCAGAGTCTGCCCGGCGAAGCTCCTACGGGCAACGGGGATCATCCGAGCGACAGCGAAGACTCGGTCACGTCGACCTATAGATCGAAAGACGTTCCCATTGGTAAAGTCGCTCTCGGTAAAGGAGTCAGAGGCTCGACGGAGAGGCTGCACTGGTTCTCCGTGCTTCAGAACCCTAGAAAACTCGTCACTGTATGGCACGTATTGAAATAACGACCGATAGTTCTCTTCAACTAGTAATCGAAACTTTAGTGTGATTTAAATTATACGAAAAGCACGATAACAGGGATCGGAGTTGCCGACGATACGATAAAACTTTTAAACAAGTTTATCGTTCATCGTTTCTTGAAATTCCAAGGTCGTCTTTCTTTCCTTCGCGTCGAAATATATGTATATTACACCGTCGAGCGTGCAACATTCTAACCTTGAAACCGAATTACCAGGATACGCGGAGTCTTGTTAGCGTTGCTTGAAAATTACGTTTCCGAACGGTACAAAATTAAGTTTACAGCCATAATTATAGCAATAAAACATAGCGGCGAAGGTACCATGGACGCGTACGCAGGTACAACCTTGTCCTTTAAAAAGGGACCAAAAGGTGCAAAGGTAGCGGTCGTTCGTCCTATGCAAAGGAATATGAATTTTAGGTACAGATTTTCTTCGGGGATTTTCGAGTAATAACGTTAGGTATACTGTAATTTAATGTCAGCACATACAACCAGAACCAAAGATGGTATATCTTATAAATATTTATATAATTTCGTTAATGTATAAAATGTTATTTAAAGCGTAATAAAATAAACAGAGCGTTGCAATTTACGTTCGTGTCTGTTGAATAGTCTACGTAATAATCGTTCCATCTATGTTTCACTTTCTATAAGGATCGTAATCAAACGATAACGATAATGTAAAAGATATAAGAATAAGTATAGATTCAAAATATGGCGGGCAGAATTAGAACCGCGGGAATTTAGTTTGTTGTCGACAGAGGGCGGCAGGGTTGCGTCGGTCGTCTCGTAGCAACGTCGACGGTAGGTGCCCAGCCAGAGGCAGAGCTTCAACTTCAGTCTGTTTTGTGACTCGTGAGTGTATTGTGTTCGTCCTGGTCGTGTTCAGTTTATTCGGTTATCCTTTTTTTCGTCGCGAGTTTGTAGTTTGATCCGTCGAAGGAAAGTGCGCCCGGGAGGAAAGTCGCGAACGTGCATCGGACGGTGAGTAATCCGTTTTATTCCATCCGACATCCTAAAACGATTTCCTGCGAGCCGCAGAGCTGCGTTCGCGAGCTGGAAATGTAACCTCCAAAAGGCACTCGAGGTCCTTCGACGTCGAACAATATTGGTAGCGTCTATCTTTCCTGTTATTTGCGCCGCGCGCATTCCTGTTATCGGCGAATTCGCGATTACGTCTGTGAATGGGACAGCCGGCTTTGTCAATCGTCGCGTATTCCAGTGCGTTTCCGCGATAAGGCATCGTGGAACCGCGTCTTGCGGTAATGTCAACCGTTTTTGAATATCGTCCAATAGCAACGCTCGAATCCTCGGTACGTGATACTTGAAAACCTGTGACCGATCGAGGGCAGAAATTTACCCGGAAGCTAAGCCTTTCGCGAATCGAGTCGACGCAGTGGCACGACGAAGTATCGTTCGCAGAGATTTAGCTACGTCGCCAGGAAATCGGATTTTCACGCGTCTCGCTGTCAAGCACCGCGAAACGGAAAACGAACGCGTCGACTACCTGCCGGGTCGATCCCCGACAGAATCGAGTTTTGACCTGCTCTCTCGTCCGTTGGCCACACACCGTCACCCTCCGTTCCTTTCTCGCTGCTGGAGTGAATTTTAGTGACCTGTTCTAAGCGTGCTCGTCTACAATGGGAATTCCCTTGGAACGATTCGAAAACGGAGACTAACGGGGCCCATCTTTTATTTCAGCATTATACATACGTTCTCTGGAAGAAATGAAATTGACGGAGATATCGATTCGTGCGAAACAACGGAAACCATATCGTGATTTCTTCATTGCCAGAGCAACGGGGAGACGACGGTTAGGGCAACCGGTCGTGACGTTTTACGATCACCTTGGCGGTGTAACGAAGGATAGGAAATTTGTCGGGCGTTAGAAAGTACGCGCACGACAACGAGAGCATCCGTGTGGATCTAGAAGAGCAAGAGTTAAACGTAAACATAAATGCAATACGTTGAATTATCATTTGAAAGTAGTGCAGTCGTGTAACCGATACATGTAAATAGAAATGGTCGGGTCTATTTCATTGGGAAGTGGGTGGATTCCCGCCACATCGTCAGGACTCTCGCGGATCTCGTGCTAACACGATCGCGAATTTTTCTTTTCAAATCTTGCCACAAAGGGTTCATTGTCTCGAATAAAAAATATTGTTGCATTCGTGCACTTGTTGTTCCCTTTGAGACGCGTTCTCGTGATAATCTGTCGCGGCAATCTTAATCGAGCATCGTAGATCGTTGTCGATAAGAGTCACAGAGGTAATACGATAGTTACGAATTAATTGAACGCCTTTATCGAAATTGCGTGGGCAATTAACGTGTCTGCGTATACGCTTTCACGCGAAACTATGTATTCGACGAAACTTGCAACTTTTACTGCGTGTAATACAAAGATGTACATTGTACCAATTTCCCATATCCTGCTTAGCAAAATTTAGACTATTTTATTCTCTGCTTTAGTTTCATTAACACTTTGACTGTCACGTCACAGGATTTACAATTATGATACCAGAAAAATTAATTCTCAAATGAAGACGATGAGGGACATAAATTTGGATAGAGTTTGTGAATTTTAACAAGGTTACAAAAATAAGTAGCGAAACGAATTTTAGGTTATGTAGCTTACGATGGTCTAAAATAAAAATGTTGCTTTCGCAGAATATTGTACGGTGTTGATCTGCCAGCGAACGTGTTAAAATGTACATTTTGAATTTGATATTTCGAGCCGAACAGCCAAACACGATCGTTAAAACGTGGATTTTATTTGCATATTGGTCGAAGGACGACGCGACAGTGGCTGGTATCTGACAGCAATTGGCTGCAGGTACTTTTAACGGTAATTAGACTGGTGTCGAAGATAACCGGGCAATTAATTGAATCGCCACCGCACACGTTGCGTCCATTGTGTCTATAATCGAACATGTTGGAAAAGTGTACGGACGAACGATCGCTACCGACGAGAAAGATCTTGGAATATTTCTAACTATTAAACGAATATTAAACACGTAATGGCCGGGTGCATTTACCGCGTTTATACCTTTATTAAGTGTATTTAGTATTTCTTTGGTCAATTTTGCTTGTACAGCTGTGTGGCTGGAGAAAGCCTGTTTTGCATTATTGGCACAGGTGTTCGTGTCTTGCAGAAGGGTCGGAAAAAAACGGCATATGGTTAATTTCGTTATAAAATTAAGGCATGTGTCTATTTTTATGTTAAGGGAGAATTTTTTTTTTTACAAAGTATCGGAAAAAATTCGTTGAAAATGACCTTAAATAAACTTGGTTCTCTGTACGAAGGTATAGAAAACGAGAAAAAAGTTGGGATGAAATGCGAACCGACGGGTTTCATCCGTCGCGGTTGGTTTCTCATAACGCGTTGATGCTTTTCAGGCGTTGCGCATTTTTTGTTTCGCGCGACGAGTTAAACTATCCGGCACGCGGCCGTGCTTCATTGTCATGCAAATGATTTTTGCGCAATCACGAAACAACCGAGCGACACGGATTCGAACGTGGACGCACGTGCATGGGAAAAGGTTCCGGGAATGTCCAGACGCTTGCGTTTTAACCCTTTCTCTGCGTATTTGGATTCCCAGCTTCGTTCCTCGCCACTTTCCTTTTCCAACCGTCGGCATCGCGATAGAAAGCGATAGAAAGCATCCTTCGATTTACCATTTCGGCGATCCGGATCGCAAGCTTCGATCGAGCAGTTGGTGTTCGACATAACCTAACATGTTCCAATTACGAATCTCACTCGTTTCGAATAAACAACATGGCCACCGTGAACGACCATTTTATAATCATTTTCCTTACAAACAGACCTTGTAAATTTGACTTGAGATTCAATGCAGCTTCGATCGAGTAATTGGTATTCGACATAACCTAACATGTTCCAATTACGAATAAACAACATGGCCGCCGTGAATGACCATTTTCTAATCATTTTTCGTACAAATAAACCTTGTAAATTTGACTTGAGATTCAACACAGCTTCGATCGAGTAATTGGTATTCGACATAACCTAACATGTTCCAATTACGAATAAACAACATGGCCGCCGTGAATGACCATTTTCTAATCATTTTTCTTACAAACGGACCTTGTAAATTTGACTTGAGATTCAACGCAGCTTCGATCGAGTATGTAGTAGGTATTCGACATAACCTAACATGTTCCAATTACGAATCTCACTTGTTTCGAATAAACAATATGGCCGCCGTGAACGACCATTTTCCAATCATTTTTCGTACAAATAAACCTTGTAAATTTGACTTGAGATTCAACACAGCTTCGATCGAGTAATTGCTTTTCGACATAACCTAACATGTTCCAATTACGAATGTCACTTGTTTCGAATAAACAACATGGCCGCCATGAACCTTTTTCCCATCATTTTTCCTATAAACAGACCTTGTAAATTTGACTTGAGATTTAAGATTCTTAAAGAAAAGTTTATAAAAAAAATTCACTTCGTGTAGTAGATTACCCTGTTAATATTTCTGAAACTTGTGTTCGTAACGGTTGGTTATGAAGTCCGGAAGTATACGTGTTCCGAAAATAACGTCGGGGAAATGAGAGTTAACGGAGACAAGTTTTGCTCGTTGAATCGTTGATGATCGGTCGTAGAAACAAAAGCGAATCGCGCAGCACCCGCCAGGATGAATATCAACCGTTTCCTTTTCGATCGTTTCGACGTCATCGAATTCCTTGCAGTTTTCCAATCGGTCTTACCTCCGGCACGGCTTTTATAGAACAACGATGCCGGGCGTCGTTCGACGCACAAATTCGTCGGCGTCGTTTTGAATCGATGCTCGTGGGTTTTCAACAATGGCGGGAACGGTACCGTTGCTTGCACGCGGCCAAGTTCCTAGCCAAATAACCGTTCAACGGCGGGTCGTTATTCCCATTTCCCAGTAAAAGATACGGCTGACACGTAACTATTAATTAACTCTCGAATGGGGCGGTTGGTCGTATCTGAAGGCCGTAATCGAACCGTAATAGAAATTCCATTTCACCAAGATTCCCCAAAGGAATTGTTTATCAAATTTTGATTCATTTTATATCATAACTTGATTATTGTCCGTTAAAAATGGGAGAGAAATTTAATTTACAACCGGGTGACCTAAGTGGACTTGTGTGGTATAGCGTGCAACGGTGAATGACTAATTAATTGGGTGTGAAAATCACGATGCAACGACTCGAATTCGACAAGGTGCGCGAACGTCTCGCGATAGTCGTTTAAATAAAAATAGTGGTCTGAAAATAGTCTGTCTCCTAAATACCATCGAACAATGATTGGCGCGATCGTCGTTCGCGGATCAAGACCGTCGTCGTTACTATTTCGGTGTGACGGGACACGGTGGCATGAGAAAATAATGTTTATTTGGGTTAGTTTGAAGGAAGCGCAAAAAAAAAAGCGACGGTGTGTGGTGTCCCGCGTGGCTCATAGCGGGCTTAATCGTCGCTGCATCGACTGCATCCGGTGCATCGGTGTAATTAATTTCTCCGGTTAACTGCTCTCGCCGAGAGAAAAAAATTCCTCCGGCCGTGGAACCGTTTAATTATAATTACAAATTCAAGCGTTACGCTCGCGGTGATCGTCGCCACCGAGACAAATGTCCCGAATGCAAATTGTTCGTTTCTACTGTAAAATCTCGTTTGCGTTATTCGAAGAAGAAACAGAACAGAGTTCACCGTTCGTGGATGACACTTTTCACATTCAAATTTCTCGACACTTTGTAATATTTCATTTTTTCGTTATGTAGTATAATTAGGAATTTCACAAAATTTCACCTTGTTATTAATAAAAATTACTATCTTTCCTTTCTTTTCCCTCTAAACGCTTACGAAACACTCTGTACTCGCGTGCATTTACTTCGTACGTTCGTATATAACCATTTTGCTGGACTTTCCACTCGATTCGAGCAACTACGAGGATCGTTGTCCCGTCTGGTTCCAGGCCATTAGGCTAAATCCAAACTCGTGTCGGTTCTCGCTTTCCTCGTCGAGTGGCTGGTCGGTCGGATTAACGCGAACTCGCGAGAAATATGCAGAAAAGGAATAGCAAGATATCTTCCATAGACCTGATTAGAATTGCTGCCAAAAGATCGTTCGTTGGAAAATTTTTTAGGTTATCGTGAATATTTTCCGTTTAAGGGAACGCGATTACGAGCATCTCGGGGTGCAATACTTTATCGATAGAGGTCTACAAAGTAGAAATTCGAGTATGCCGATGCATAACTGGGTCGCCGTCGGCGGGCAGGTTGGTTAGAATGCAGTTTTCAATGTAGGCAGTTACATTCTGCATTCTGTGGACCTATAAATAATATGCGTTTTACGGTATTATGGCGTAACGGCGGCTTCATCGAACGTTGCTCGCGTTCGACCATTTTCAACCGCCATTACATTATTCCTCATCCACGTAAACGCCTTGTGCAATAATAAAGTAGGCTTTTAAAACGCTGCAATAAGACGATATATTTCGTGCTTCGAAAAATATGCATTTTATTTTTATTATAAAAAACGATAATGCTTGGATTTGTGTTGTACGAATAATTTAATTCAGATAATACGCGACACTGTTTCGTTACAATTAATTAGTCGTTTAATCTGGTCTTTGGCACGCGTTCTCGTTTTCTCGTTGATAAAAACTGAGAGAATAAAAGAACAGCCGATTATAGAAGCGAAGTTCAGCGTTTATTTAACGTCGACGCGATTAGCGATATCACAGAAACATGACACCATTCGACGGCGCGGTTCCTCGAAAACAAAATGTCGGAAAGGGTCGCGCGACTTCGAACGATATTTGTATCAGGAAACAGGGACGGTGACAAGCTCTTCTTTGGATTCTTTATTGTTGGAAACTTTACATCATTCTTTCTACAAGGCGAAGCAAAAAACATGAGGAATCGATCTTTAAAAAAATGGTTAACGGTTTCCTCGTTACGTGTGCAAAATTGCCATAGGCGATAATCCGTAATTTATTTTGTCGACGTTGCTGATATTATTGTACATGAGATTTACATTCTTCAACGCGTGGAGACCATCGAACGCACCTGTTTCCACGGTACCGATCTTGTTTAGCGATATATCGAGTTTATTTAAACTTTTCAATCCGTCGAACATCCCAGACGCGACGCGGGTCAGCTGGTTCTTTTTGAGGTCCAACTGTTCCAGTTGAGCCAAGTTCGCGAAAGCTCCGGCCTCGATGTCGGAAATCTCGTTGCGCTGGAGATTCAGAATCCTCAGATCGATCAGTCCCTTCAGGTCCATTTTCGAGACGCTGGACAGTCGGTTTCCTTTGAGAAACAGACCGTCCAGTTTGTGCAATCCCCGAAAGGTTCCTGGTTGAACGACGGTCAGTAGATTATTGTCCAAGTGGAGACTCGTCAGTTTCGGCATATTGCTGAAACTGCCCGCCTCGATGCTGGTAATTTTGTTATTGTTCAACCATAGGAAGGCCATAGAGGAGGACAATCCAGAAAACGATCCCTCCTCGATCGACTCGATGTCGTTGTAGCTCAGGCTCAGCCACATCAGTTCCGTCAATCCAGCGAACGAATCTTTCGGTACGGCGTTTATCTTGTTCCACATCAGAGATAGAGTTTGCAATTGTTTCAATTCGGCGAACAGATTCGCCGACAGCGCCACCTGGTTCATCTCCAAACCGAGCCGCTCCAATTTCTCCAGTCCGCGAAACGACTCTCGATTCACCACGGAAATGTTGTTACCTATGTCCAAGTTCAGTTTTACGGTGGTCAAGTTTTTGAACGCGTTCTCTCGAACGGCCAGCAGATTCAATTCGCGTATCTTGAGCTCGTCCTCGAACTCTTGTTGCGTCACGTCCACCAGCACACCTTCGCTATGGCACACCGTGTAGCCATTGTTTTCCATGCAGATCGGCCCCTCCGTCGACGACGCGAACACGACGAACGTCGTCAACCACAGAGCAAATCTCAACATTTCGAGAATCGAATTTCGCGCCGGACCGACGAGATTCGATCGCGACTGAGGGACTTGGAGATACTGGCGGGCTTTTATACGCGTTATTCGTTGCACAGCGGTGCAGGGACGCGATTAGATAGAGGCTACGACCTCTGGCACAGTTATCGGCTCGGGAGGAGTTCGATTGTTTCTTGCGAAACTGTGCTTCTCGACTTAACCCTTTCTTTTGTTTATTATAACACCGGATAGAAAAATGTTGCGTCTCGACGATCATAACGAATTCTAGGGCAAAAGAAACCTTCGTCGACTCTCTGGTCAGGTTAGGCTCCGGCGATCGTCTTTTCTGCAATTAGAAATCCCAAGCGATCCTTGTAAAGCCGATCACGCATTCCGGTGTACGCGACAATACGTCGAGAGTGTGCATCGATGCGGAGCCGGTGCAGCTGCCTCTCGACGCGAACGAAAAAGTCGAGGAAAAAGACCCGTCGACGAGTTCCTTATATCGAGACCCGGCCGATGCGCGCGCGCTCATTTCGCCTCTGCCTATTCGCTATTTCGACGTGTCCTCTTTATCCCCATAGATGGCTCTCGAAACTTGTCGCTTCGAGCTTTTTCTTCGTTCGCCTCTCTCTCTCGCCGTCGCTTGTCCGTTTCACGATTTAATTTTCTTCTGTTTCTACGGACGAGGCCTCCCCTTCTTTACCGCAGTCGCTGATTTTACAACTCCTTTAGTCACGGAGAGATTGTATTTGTGCGTGAGGCACGTTGCCGTTCCCCGGGAAAAGAAAACCGTGAACCAGTTGAATCAATCGTCGAAGTTTCCTATTAAAACGAAAACCGGTACACCCCCAGGGGTGCATTCGTCTCTAGGCGTGTTTCGCCGGCAGAAACAATGAGACGCTCGACCGGAAGAAACGGGAAAGCACCGAGAATTCTTTTATTGCGCTACGAGTCGTCGGTGCGTGAAGGAACATGCAAAAATTTCTGTACCGCGCTCGTACGCTCCGTTAGTTTCTCTTCTGCGCGTTCTGTACGCGATTCCCTCGATCACCGCCGGAACACGTAATTCCATCCGTTGCCGCAAAAGTCGTGAAACTTTGTTCCAATATTATCTTAGCACTCGGGATCGCCTTTATCTGACGCTGACGAACGAGAGAAAAAAAGTCATCGTCTTTTGTACGAATCGTTTTTTAAGTGTCGTCTTTCACGGCTCGCTGGCTTCGAGGGGGGGATCCCCCTCCGGTCGAGAGGGATAGTTCGACTCACGGATCACGTTCGGAGTGTATTTTTAGAATCACCGTATCGTTAAAAATATTGAGTGCTTTCGTGGAAAGTGTCGCGTGCGAAGCGTGTGGAAGAAAAAAGAAAAAATGGACAGAATTCGTGTGCGTATTACGTGAAAGTTGTGTCTTCTTCTTCGTCGAGGTGAACAACCGTGGACAGTCGGGGGTCGATGCGTTAACGACACGATGAAAAGATCGCGAATCGCGGAATCGTCTCGACGCGTTAACGGCCGTCCGCCTAGGTGTGTACACGTTGCACGTATAAACAGCCGGTGTATTTTTAGAAAGACCCGTGTCGGATTTCCTGTACACTCGATACAGTGTAAACTCGATGGTGCGTAGACTCGCCAGGGGGATGGATGGTGGTTGCCATGCCTACGTCTCTCCCTCGACCCCGTCTCTCTGTCTGCTGTCTCTCCGTCTCTTCGTCTCTCCGTCTGTCCATCCACCCCGTCCGTCTGTGTTGGTTCGATACCTGACTTCGCCTCTCCTCCGCCAACCCGACCCGTGCCCGCGTCTTATTATCGTTTATGGTTTCCTAGTTTCGCTGACCTCGCCGTACGACCAACCTTGTCACAGTTGCGAAGCTCGGGAATATTTAGTCTTTAAGACGGTCTTTGCACTCCCGTCCACCGACGAACATTTCACTCTGCGAGATTAGGCACGTACGGAGAGGTCGCCGGGGATCTCTCGCGCTCTGCACTCGTGACACACAGAGTTATCTCTCGAACACTGTGACTCCACGAGAATAGCTTCGATACGAATTAGGCACGCGTTACGTGCACTCACTTGCACGTGTTTTCGATAGCGCGATGGAATCATACACAGTGTTCGTTGGAGGTTAGGAACGGTTGTAAATATTATTGGTTGGTTCGAAAAGCATTTTTGCGGTGCACCAGTCATGGTTAGTTTCTAACTCTCTAAACCGTCGATCCCCTCTGTGTACTTTGGGCCGTGCTGTAATCTTCGTTTCTTTCCCGAATGTTTGTGGACTTGTTTCGTAAGGCGGCGTGCTCCCGTGGCGGTTCGACTTTAAAAATAGCACGTCGAGTCGCGCGGAGAAAAACCACCGCGTGCAATTCGATCGTTTTCTCCCGGGGTTTGATAATTAGGTATAATTGGCTGTAAATAATTGCGGCTGGATCGCCTAAGTGGCTCGTTGCCGCGGCTTTGTCCGCGGATAAGTAACGATTAATGATCGCGGGAGGATCTAACAATGCTCGCCAAATCGAATTTTGACGATCTCTGCGGCGAAAGGAATCGCGAGGCACCGGTTAGCGAAAATGTGGCAATTAGGCGCGTATTGCCTTCAACGAGCAGCGTTTAACGATCGATCGGGAACGTTATCGTTACGAATAGGTAACTGGCGATGGTTCGATACGTTCGAACGTCTCGTTTTTGAACGTGGAACAAGGGCACTCTCGATTAAAATTACAGAAACGTTGCCAACGCAATTACACTGTTCCGATCACGCTAATATTTCACTTAAGGAAATATATATTCGTTGCGATTAAATTGAGGGGCCATTGGAACGAAACGTCGATCGGGTCGGAAGCAGGGAAATTCGTTGGCGAGTGTCGTCCATTCGAACGGTGCTCTCTGGCGAAGATGGATCGGGCTCGCGGTGCTATTTCCAGGGGATGCTCGACGGGTCGTCGCGGGTAAAAAAGTGTGACGTTAATTAAAGACTTGACGTAAATCACGGCAAACGCCAAAATGCTCTTCGCCGTGAAACGACCACGCTCGTGCATTTTCAGTTTCGCGGCAGATCGGGTGCGCGGAGACGGCTCCATTTTCCGCGTCCGAGATCATCGCGGGCAAACATTTGTTCACATTGCCCGTTAACACGTTCGCTGTCTATGACACGTATATGGGTCACGACGCCACGCTATTCGATACGCCGCTCGGAGACCGGACAGTGAACGCGTTAACCCTTTTAGCGCCGAGCGAAAAAGCTCATAAAAACCAAACTAACAATGATATTTACAAAATTCAAAAAGCAGCATATTAAGTAATAAAGAAAGAATAAAGTAACGGCAATTGCATTTCAATATTTATTGCAAATCATATAAATAACATAATTATAAAATATGATAAACATAGAAACAAGTTTCTCTTCTACAAACAATATTTACACATAAGAATAATCATTGTTTGACCATAGTTTTATGTAGGTTACATAGTAAAAAGTATAAGTATTTGATTTTCAATGATTTTTTAATTAATAATCAATTCAAAATATGAGGCTTTGTTAAAAAATTATTAACGTTTAAAGTGGAGCCCGCACTGATTTTTTTTCTCGAAAACGCGCAGGATTTCGAGGGTATGTCTATTCACCAAAAATGATTGTAATTGACCCCTGCAAATGAAAATAATTTTTCCAGAACGATTTGAAATTTTTTTTTCCCGTTGAAAAGTTTCACACCTTCTCGAATTTTTTTCTCGAGAGTGGGTAAGATTTCGAGGATATGTCTATCGACAAAAAATGATTGTAATTGACCCTTGCAACCAAAAATAATTTTTTTAGAATGATTTGAAATTGTTTAATTTTGTCGAAAAATTTCATACTTCGTCGAATTTTTTTCTCGAAAATGCGTAGGATTTCGAGGGTATGTCTAATGACCAAAAATGATTGTAATTGACACCCGCAAACGAAAATAATTTTTTTTAAACGATTTGAAATTATTTAATTTTGTCGAAAAATTTAGGCACCTACCCCCTGTCGATTTTTTTGAAAATTCGTTTTTGATTTTTAACAACTTTGTTTGACGCTGTACAGAAAAGTTGTTTAATACTTTATTGAAGGTATCCATGAGCTCTACTTCCAGATTAAATTTCAATGAGATCCATTCGCTATTATAGGAGTTATGGACGTGTGAAAATTGAACCATTTTTATGGCGTTTTTTTATCATTCACGGGTTGAAGAAGCAACTTTCCGAATATTTTTGGAATTTCTATATATTCTACACTAAAATACGCGTAGTTTGCATTTTTTAAAATGAAAATCGTCCAATCCGTTCAGAAGTTATGGCGTTTTGAAGATTCGCATGCCATTTCGGGGTGCCATTTTGGGCCAGAAATTATATTTTCGGTGAGGAATTTTTTTCTCGAAAGTGCGTAGGAATTCGGGGGTATGTCTAATGACCAAAAATGATTGTAATCGACCCCTGCAACAGAAAATAATTTTTCCAGAACGATTTGAAACTTTTTAATTTCATCGAAAAATTTCACACCTTCGTAGAATTTTTTTCTCGAAAATGCGTAGGATTTCGAGGGTATGTGTAATGACAAAAAATGATTGTAATTGGCCCCTGTAACTAAATATAATTTTTTTTAGTGTGATTTCAAATATTTTAATTTCATCTAAAAATTTCAGTATCTACGCAACGATATATCGTCGTTCGGCACTAAAAGGGTTAATCATAATGAAACGACAAACTCTAGATGACGTGGAAAATTGATTTCGAACAATTCCGTAGCTAGAAATGGGATAAAAAGTTTAATCCTCGATCGTTTCTCTGTTCGATGCGTGGTTAGGTGTGCACGTGGTGAGAGCAGACGCTGTTATTTAACGCCGCAGCTATTTCCAGGTGCGTGCATCGTCGGTGTCGAGTGCTACTCGCCGAGACTGCTACGCCACTCGCAGAGCCTTTGTATCGCTTAATCTCCTCTCGCTTAGTCCCTCGAAACGAGACATTTTTTACCGTTACGCCTTTTAATTACCATTTTCGATCCGCGTTTGGTATAGTCACCCCCATTTTCAGTTTTAAAATCATTCTTGCAAAGAGGAATAAGAGGAATAAGAATTTCATGGGACTTGGACAAATCTTTGGCTCGATGGTCGTCTTCTCACAAAGTCGCGAGAAAAATAAATTTCTATAATAGGTTTCATGATAGATTTAGTGCAAGTTTGTAGAAAATCGAAAGGCTCGAAAAGGACAAAAATGTTAAAGGTTATTAAGGAAATTAACACGATCACTGTCCGTGACCCGTATACGGGTCATAGCGCCACGCTTTTGGATACGCCGCTCAGAGACCGGACAGTGAACGTGTTGGCTGTTTTCGAATTCCATGGAATCGAACGCGATATGCAACGTGTTTCATGGATCTTCGTTTACGTAAGAAGATTCTCCGGAAGGTTATTGGAAATCGAACGGTGACGCGATCGAGACTTTGATCCAGACAGTTTCAGTCGTCGGTGCATAAACATGTCAGCGCGCGAACGCTTTCTAGGAACGAAGGTTGCAGCACGAGCGACGTAGTTCGAATAGAAACGCCAGGTGGATATTACGCGATAGTTCGTTTTCGTTACACAAAAGTCCGGGAGTACCTTGCGATTAGAGACGACCTCAAAGCGATATCCGCTCGTTATCTCGAGCAACGCGTTGCAAATGTTTACGTTGATAAGACAGCTGGGCTCGCACTTAGCCGGATACGCCTCCTTCGGGCGTTGTTCGTCCATATGGGTCATTCCGCGCGATAATCCGACATAACTATTCTCCCTCATTTGCAAGGATTAGCTATCGAAACTACGATGCAGTTAAATTAAAACGAATGCATGCTGTTATTTTTACGACGCACGACGCTCTCAGCTCGTCGCGGCGAGGAAGTGTATCGAGAACGACGCCGACGTGTGTGAAACCGTGTCGTGGACTCGGATTTCCTGTTCACCTTGCTAAATGTACCCAGCAGGTCGGCTGATTCTCGAAAATGGCAAGAAAAGCTCGCGAGAATGCTTCCTGAATAATCATGATCAGCTACGCGTCTACGTTCGTTCGAACACGCAACAACCGAGTTTTCTAAAACTGGCGATGTCTTCGTATCGGGAGACAGACAAGGAAAAAACCTGGTCGACGACGAGTCTTTTGTCTCTTTTCGCGTTTCCAGCGTGGCACGTTCGATATTTTGAAGAATATTATAATTTTTGTTGCAGGTTACGCGGGACGCGAAACGCGAGACGCGGTACTCAAACGGAAAATTTGTGGTGAGTGCACGAAGGTTATTTATTACGGTTTAGCTCCCTCTGACATTTCCATTTTGGCGTTTCTCGATCCATCGTCGTAAAAATGTCAAGTATCGATACCTCGTCGATATATTTCTCTTGCGTTTTCGCTGCGTCTTTCGAACGCGAGGAAAAAACAACGAAGAATAGTTTCAACGGTCGCGTCCTTGGAGGTTCGAAGATTCCCCGCGACGCGGCGCTGCGATAATGGCCGCGGCTTCGAGGCGTACTTTAATCGACGGAATTACCGATGCCGAAATAATTTCAGTTTCGAGTCCCTGGCAACGTATCCCGGTTGCGAGGAGGGCTGCAGGATGGAACGAAAAGGACGGGAGGAAGGGTCGGGAGGTAAAGCGGGTCGATAGTCCCGTAAGTTTATATTCCTGTGCGGTCCCTGGCCGCGTGTCCGCTCGTGAAAAATTTATTTGTCTAGGCCGGGCTCTCTCGTAACAGTTTTACAGTCTGACGGAATCCGCCAAATAATTCGTCCCGCGTTTTAATAATATATCCATGATTCCCGGGATCGTTTTTCTCCGTCTGCACTTCGAAACGGTAACTCGACGCTGGAACGTGACGCGCATACCATTTTTTACGGTTTTCCCTCGACGCCAACCACTCGCAATAATCATTCGTATGGAAAATATTTTTTGACGCGTTCGCTACCCTCGGGGAATCCCTTGGAAACTTGCTTCGTGACAAATTTTACTTTTCTTACGCATATCTAACCCCCCCGTAATTTTCTAATCTACTTGACGTTAAAGCACGAGAATTCACGAGTGCAACGCTAAGCATACGTAAGTTATGCCCGAACTAGTGTATTATTGAAATTGGTCGAATTAAATCTTTTCGATCACGCATGGGAAAAATTCTAATGGGGTATTCTAGAGGCCAAAATAAGACGAAAATCGAGAATACCAATTTGTTGATGGAGGCTTCGTTAAATAGTTATTAACAATTAAATTCGAAAATTTCAAATCGTTCTGGAAAAATTATTTTTAGTTGCACGGGTCAATTATAATCATTGTTGGTCAATAAGCATACCCTCGAAATTCTACCCACTTTCGAGAAAAAAATTCGAGTAGGTGTGAAATTTTAGGACAACATTAAAAAATTTCAAATCATTCTAAAAAAATTATTTTTAGCTTGGAAGACCAATTACAATCATTTTTGATGAATAGACATACCCTCGAAATCCTATCCACTTTCGAGAAAAAAATTCGAGAAGGTGTGAAATTTTTCGACCGGAAAAAAAATTTCAAATCGTTTTAGAAAAATTATTTTCGATTGCGGGGGTCAATTACAATCATTTTTGGTCATTACACGTACCCCCGAAATCTTGCGCATTTTGGAGAAAAAAATTCAGTACGGATGGAACTTTGAATATTAATAACTTTTTAACGAAGTCTCCATCAACAAATTGGTATTCTTGATTTTCGTCTTATTTTGGCCTCTAGAATCCCCGATAAAAATTTTTCCAGGGGTTATCGAACACCCTATATGCTCGCCTGACGATCACCTCGTTGTAAACAAAAGACGATCGGTTTTGTTGTGTCTGGAAGGGATCGATTGGCTACTGCACTCGTGCAGACACAAGCAAGAAAAGATTCGAATTACAATGGGGGAGGTAATTAAAGAAAGAGATTTTATTCCCCATATAGAGAGACTTAATTGTAGTTGGAAAATTTCGTTGCAACGACGCCTGGCCCTAATTTACTTATCATCGGGAAACGCTATCGCGTTTAGCTCGTTATCCGAGGACGGTAAACCCCGTCGGGTAGGTGGAACGAGGTAACGTAAACATTACCGGGTTTGCTTCGACTCTTTCCACTTGGTCGTAATCTTTGCTGGTCAAACACTCGGTCGGGGAGATACGAAGAGATCTCGTCTCCTTTGCCCGATGAAAAAGAGGAAAAGCAGGCTTTTTCCGCTTGGTTTTTCAAAGGTTCCCTTTAGAGACGCTCGGGCCTCCGACTTGGAACTCGCCTTCCTCTGTTTGGCCTTCCATCGTCGAACGGCTCGGCGTCGCGACTCGAGAAAATGAACCGCCTAGCGTGTTTGTTGGCATTTTCGATTAAACTGCGCGTAACGGTGGAAATTTTCGCTCTTTCTGGGACTGGGTATAAACGCGCGATGAAATCGGAGCTGACTGCCGGTAGTGGAACGATGAAAAATCGTGAAACGTTCGAATAATGTTTAAGAGACGTGGAAAAAGATGGCGGTCGAAAGAAAGCGTTTCTCGTTTAATGGAGTCTGCCTCGAGGGGATATATTCTAGTCCAAACAGCAAAACTATAACACTTTTGTGTTTGATATTTTCGTCTGAAAATATTTAAAATTGTTCAAGATACGGTATTCCAAACGAAAATGTTTCTATGACAAATTAAGGTGCACTTTGGAGCTCGAAAAAGCGTATACTTATTTTTCTACGGCGTCAATATGTTAATGGCGATGCTACTTTTACTATCTCATCGCGTTAATGTCTTTTTTAGTAATGGCCAGTATGGTAATATGTGTGTGCGCGTTACGTAAATGGCGGATGGGATGTTAAAGTCGCGGATAAGAACTGTTTACGTAAAGGATCGAATATCTCAGATTAAATGTTATATCTTTCGAATAAGATCGTGGATCGTACATGCACGATGTACGTGTTGGGTTCTACGAATGGCGATAGGATGGATAATCGGGTCTGGTTGCGCTTCTAATGAAATTCGCGTTGCAAAAATTACATTACACTGTACGGTCGTATGTTGATAAAAGTAACGATTAAACCAACAAGAGCATCCTGCGATAGGAATCGAAAGGAAGGAACACGTGGTCGTTTTGGAAACGAAGCAAAAGTCGTCCATCATTTTCCTATTAATCAGAGCGTTAACTGGCGGTACTCGCCGAGGAAAACGAAGCACGCCCGATGCTCGTAATATCGCCGAGGAGCGTATTTTCACTGAAAATTATGTTAAATTGTGGTAATGTACGTGGAATCGGAACAGATCGGTGAAATTAATTGTTTCATTCAAAGACACCAGCGAGTTGCGGGATAGCTGCTATTCACCGAACCAAAGCGTCTTCCGGTAGAAAAAGTTTGCAGCGAAGCGATTATGCGGTGTTATTTTCTTAAATGTTTTAGTCAAATACGTACCGTGACTCGTATGTGGGTCATTTATGACACACATATGGCACACGGGCAGTGAGCATGTTAAAGACAGAAATCCGTAGAGTATACGACATAACCGTATTTTAAATGAAACAATTAAAAAGACACGAAAAAAATGTTTGGCGGTAGCCAAGGGTGAAATAAATGAAAATTAAAGTCGTAGAAAGGCTTTGGAAACCGATCCGATGGACAATTAGCCCGAGACGAGGCTGCGGAATTCACCGTGGAATTGCTTCTAACGAAGGACGAGACACGAGTCGCGTTGCCAAGTTCAGAGGTCGAGGAACACGCGCCGGAGTGCGAGAAATTGTGATTCGAAAGTCGAGCTCTCGCGTCTAGTCGTTGGCGTGAGTCAATTGTTTCGCCCCCATCTCGGTCAATTTCTCGCAATTAGCGCGAGGGAAGTAAGATCGGTCCATTACAGGCAATTAATGCCACGCACTCCGTTGCACGATGCAATTTCTATAAACGGTGGCGCGTTTCTGTTCGCCGCGTTTTACGTAGTCGCGAGACAGAAGCAATAAAACGACGTCTGTTCCGTGGACGGTAATCCGATAATCGTTTAGATCCAACGCGATATCTTGGACGCGTGACGCAAGCCCGCGCCGTAATCTTAACGAGCCGCTCGCGGTCATCGATGATTTCACGCGCAATCAGCAAAGGGAGAATTCTTTTTCTGATTTTTAATTCAGCTGGATTGCTCGAGCCAATATAATACGTTACACGGAATTAGGAAAATTCCATAATTTACATCTATTCTAGCACTTGACAATCTTATTCTATTAGTTTAGTGAAACGAAACCTTTTAGACAGCTGGAAACTAGAATACTCATAATTTGTTATTGAACTTATATTTCTAGATTTATTAAAATTCAGTTCTATATAGATTTATTTTCTTTAACATCTAATATTGAGAATTAATTGTTTTAGCTTCTCAGTGAAGAACCATGTCACCTATATCTAGGTGACGGGGCAGTCAAAATGTTAAAGAAAGAATAATTCTAGAAATGATTCTAAGTTTGCAGCCATTAGCTCGGTGTTACATGCGACCAAGAATCCTTGGGGAGGATTTTTGGTCAAGAGTAACACCGATTACCAGGACTCACCACGTGGAGGTTGCTGCGAGTGGAGACCCGAAGGGAGATAGATGGAATCAAAGTTCCATCGATCTCCCTTTTACATTCTTACAAGCTAGGTTACTAAACTAGAGAGATAGAAGGAAGCAATGTTCCTTCGATCTTCTAGTTTAGTTCTGCCAAGTAATTATTTCGTTTAAAAAGGAGTGAAGCTATATTGTGGAATACGCGACGCGACGCGATACGACGCGACGTCGATCAGCAGTGATCGACGCAAGGAACGAGATACGCGACACGCGAACCGAGTAACTGGTCAAAAGACTCAGCTCCGTTGCCTCTTGGCAAGTCCAATCGAAGGGGAAGGGAATCGACGCACCTGACACAGAGGTTCCCCATTTCTCCCACGCATCCTGTTGGGAGCCAGATGGACCCAACGCGGGATGGCTAACTGAGAGAGGGAGCGTGTGTCAGGGCTACCGTAGACAGGAACAGTCCCTGATCCCCTCTACGGCCGAAATACTCTTTCCCTTGGATCGTCTCGCCAGAGGACGGCAACTGACCCTTCGGACCAGCTAAACGGCCGATCACTTGCTTTCTACATCAAAGCAGTGGTGACCGGAACGAGAAACGGAAGAACGGGTGAACGTGAGAAGCTAGTTGGGAAAGAATTACTTGGCATATACGCAGACGCATACATGGGTGTCGTCGATGCTTATGTCTAATTGTACCAAGTAATTATTTTGTTCAAAGAGGGTG